TTGACGGAATCTAACGGCAGGGACCATTTGTAATCATACATACTAACCTTGAGGACCACTAATGACAAAAAAAAAACATTAAGGATGAAATCTGATAGTTTCGTAAACCTTAGGGACTTTTTGTGATAACCAAGACTAAAACAAGAGGGAATTTAAAGGTTTTATTTAATTTAACTTAAACATAGACTGGCGTTAAGTAAACTAACCACGTTCAAATTGAAGTTAAAAAAGAAAGTAAAAATAAAATAAAAACATCACATTTTGTTGGGCAGTGCACCTGACAAATTAAAAACACATCTCATCCCAACACAAATCTCCCCCCTCTTTCTTTTTTATTCTATTTTCTCGTCTCTCTCTTTTTTAATCTCTCCCTCTCTTGTTTTATTCTTTTTCCTTCTCTCTCTCTCTCTATTATTTTTCCTTCTCTCTCTCTCTCTATTATTTTTCCTTCTTCCTCTCTTCTTCTTTTCTTTCTTCTCTCTCCGTCTGCTCCATCTCTCTTTTCTTTCTTCTTGCAGCCGGGCTAAATGTTAATTTAAGCTGAGAAAAAATAAAAGCCCCCGGGCTGTACCCCAGATGCAAACGTTCTTTTTCTTGAGCAGTGGAATGGAGTAGATGCAAATATTCTTCTTCGTTCTTTTTCTTGAGCAGTGGAATGGAATAGATGCAAATATTCTTCGAATGGAATAGATGCAAATATTCTTCTTCGTTCTTTTTCTTGAGCAGTGGAATGGAATAGATGCAAATATTCTTCTTCTTGAAGAGTGGAACAGACCATCGTTGGTCTTTTTGTTTTCTTTTCAAAATATTAAATCAGTTAATAATTATAATAATCTAATATAATACTTACTAAAAAAAAAATTTGGGCCCCTCTGAATATTGGGCCCAGGGCGATCGCACTGTTTGCCCCTGCCCAGGGCCGGGCCTGGTTGTACTAAGGTTCGTGCCTGATCACAGCATGCAAGTGTAAATTAATTAACGTTAAACAAAGACTAAAAGCAGAGGGGATTTAAACGTTTTATTTAATCTATATATATAAAGCAAAATGTAGAGAATGGTGAAACATTCAAAATACTAGAAAATGCCCTTGGTTAATGCAAACATTAAGAATTGAAATTATTAATTAAATGATGATAATATGGTAAATTCACACTTTTCATATTTAAAAAAATTAAAATTAAAATTAAAAGAAAATTCAGATAATGGATCCTCTTTTTATGGAACACAACTACCCATTATCTTTTTTAATTCTAAAATAAATTTAAATTTTTTTAAAAAAGCCTCTCGCAGGCGCGGAAGCGCATGTGGAGAGGCTAGTTTAACTTAAACAAAGACTAGCGTTAAGTAAACTAACCAAGTTCAAATTTTGATTGGCTATCGCCAGGGTGGCGGCCAAGTACCTCCTACCTTCTAGTAATTCTCTCTAAAAATATATAAAATGTAGTAGTTCATACTTTGGACAAAAACTATACTAGAATGCTGGCCAATGGCCAAATAAAGCGGAAACCTAATTGAACTGGCTTCTGAATTTTCATGGCAATTCCTATGATATATATAATTGCATACCTATCTGTCCCATATGAAAAAGGAAAAAAAAAAAAAAAAAAACTTAGACCCCTTTTGGTTTATGGGAAAGGAGGATTAGGAATGGGAAATCAATTGTTTTCCCATGCTTGGTAAGTCTAGGCATGGGAAATAGTTACCTAGCACATGAGAAAGTAGAAGAAAAAGTAAAGCCCTCCTCCCAACTTGGGTTTTGTTTTCCCTCCTCATGGAAAAGTTTGAGAAAATGAGTCAACATTCAATGCACATTTTTCATGACTATTTTGTCCCTATTAACAATTTAGAATTACAATATATCATTAAATGCACTCTTTTTTTATTTAATTTAATATAATTGAAAAATTATACAAACTTTGTTTTCCATTCCTACTCAAAACAAATATGGGAAAGGAAATAAAGTGAAATCTCCCGTTACTTTCCCGGTATTACCAAACGTGGGAAAGAAATATGCCATTTCTCATCCCTTAAGAAATCCGTTCTGTGAACCAAACTAAAAAAAGACTTTTTACTATCTGCCATTTCCTATCTGTCAATTGATAAAAATAACTATAAGACTTTTAACTTTGACAAAAAAGAAAAGAAAAAAAAAAAAAAAGACTTTTTTTATGTGGGTAAGGGGTAGAGAGGGAGATTGAGCAATGGATGAGATTGCATGCATATAGCATAAATGTACTAATTTTCTTTTTAAACAATCAATAAACATTTGTTTTTATCTAAAAACAATAATTAATAGACATTGGAAATGACAAAACTCTAAGCAGAACATACAGAAATGAGGTAAAATTAGACACAAATTGAATTTCATTGAGAAAAATGAGAATACAATTAAGTTTCATGGGGCCAATCAATAATTAAGCCCTTCCAATTCTGAATCAAAAGACACTCGGTTTTCTCTTATTTGCGGGTTATCTATTACGTTGCTCATCTATTCTAGCCGTCTTCTCAGTTTTATGTAGTGCTCAATGCTCGTCTATCATCTGCTCCAATACTTAAAACTTCATGAAGCCGCGGGTTGTTACTTAATGACATGTTACCCTATTAACAGAATTTACATTATAGTGAACATAGGATCTCCATAATTTGGTGCTGTGGTTTGCTATAAATTCTGAGCCTGAAAGGCTTTGGATTATTCCTTACTCAGGTTCGAATCCCTCCAATGTAACAACAAAATATAAAATTGGGGCACCAAATTTTAGATGCTACAAGGATTCTGGCACTGTGGCCACATTTCCTGCAGAGCTTAGCAGACGCAGATTTTGACTTCGGGCTGGAGAATGAATTTTGGTCTGAATCCTCTTTTCATGTCATCTGTAGAAAAGAAATTAGTGAATTTTTATTCATCTATTTGATTGAAAATGTTTTATTTTTATTTCTATATATATAATGAAATTAGTCAGCGCACTTAACAGGCTAAACTGTGGTGGGCATCTATACCTCAAAAGTCATTTATTTTATTTTATTTTTTCCTTTATTTTCTTGTGTAAGATTCATTGGAAAGATAGTCATCGAAATGTGTCCAGTCCAGACACCCAGTTTTAAACTGGGTGTTGACTATCTTTCCAATGATGACATTTCGATGAGTATAAAGGCAAAAACAAAATAAAACTGGGTTTTTCTTTTGTGCCAGACACCCAGTTTTTTTGCCTTTATACTCATTGAAATGTCTATTTTTCACCCATAAAAAACCCAGTTTAAAACATAAATACGAACTAGGTCATTTTGTCCAGACAGAACACATACTCAGATTTCTGCATAAATGCATATTCTTTGGCAAATAACATCCGAAGTCACTTACACAATCTCACTGAAATCAATGTACACTGTACTAGAATTCCAGCAGCAAGTAGGGCAAACAAATCTTACCTTAACAGCTCCAAAGTAATCCACAACCTTCAATGAGCTGCCTAGTGACCACCATTCTCCCAAACCACACTTAGAAACAAGAGATTAAAGCTTAATCAGTCACTAACTCAGAAAGAGGAAATTTTCGAAACTTAACCAAATCCAAGAATGGTTTACCTTATCTTGTAGAGCTCGTTCATATGATCCTAAAGGCGAAAGCGGCGCAAGAATTGGAGTTGTAGAATGAAAGTTATGGTAGAACGAAGTTTGAAGGAGAAAGAAGGGAGAGAATGAGTTTCTGGAAAGAGAGTCGTGAAGTAGGAGCTGAACTGGAACCTCATCCTTCAAAGGCTTGGTGTATATTTGTCCTATTCGTAACGACCCCGACCTTGCGTCAGGGAAAGTGGCTGAAACTCGTGAAGAGAAACTCGAGAAACTTGTTTCCCCCTGTTTTTTCCTCTTTCGAATCACTAACACACACATGGGGAAAGAAGAGATCAACACCTGTCCTTTCAATCCTATTCCAGCGACACCTATGCTAAGCTGGCTCAAGTCGTCAACACTCAACATGACACGTGTCCCTTACCTGGCCCAAGGATAGTCGCAGGATCAGATTACCAGTCAAGGATCTGACGCCCAATATTTAGCCACACCATTTCTTGATTTTCAATACTCCTACATTTCCAAAAATTCACCAAAAATTCAGCCGAGATCCGAAAAATAGTACGAACTCATAAACACATGTACTTTCCTTTAATCACATCCAAAATATTTTCTCCAAAATTCTACAAATAAACACCATAAAATTTCCAAGGTCTCGCAAACATGATCTTTATTTGGCATTTATGCTAAATCTAATAATGAATTAAGAGAAAATTGACAATAACTGAGAAAAAAAAGAAGCAAGTAACAAGCAAATAAATGTACCTTGCGCTGCATTACAAGAGCAATCTCTCTTGCATCAATTTCTCCCATGCCACTCATTTCTACAATGGAATATTCTTTTACTAATTTTACTTGTATCTCAATTTTTATTTTCCCTTTCTTTCTCCATCTCCTTCCACTAAAACCTGAAAACTGGCTCTCGAGTTCTAAAATGATAACCATTACAAAAGGAAGAAATATTTACGTTTTGTACTAGGAAAGAAATTTGGGGAGGCACTTATATATAAATTTGGGCGATAAAGCCGATGATGGGATTAAATAAGTTTGTTTAGCTACAGACAAGTCGTTCACATGTTTCATTTGAATTTACAAAGACCACACATACAGCTGTTACGAAACTGAAAAGGTAACTGAAGCAACTTATCAATTTTGATGTCATTTCACGTGATCAAATATTCTAAATTTGATTTTTAACGTGCACTTCCCCGTGCATCAAGAGGCTTTCAAATAAGATTAGCTAGATAAAGAAATTTTGCAGAATACCTTTAAACCCATTGTTTTAAAGAGATTAGTTTGGCGACAAACTTCAATGAAGTTTGTCGAATTGAAAACAAATCCTTAATTAATTTTACGTGAATACACAAAGAAAATGTATGCTTAATTTTTATTTTTTTTAGACGCTAATTGATTACTATACGTCACGTTCTTAATATCTATAAGATTTCATGTCATAGAATATTCTGCATTAAACTGTTTTTTAAAGAAGAAATGTTACAAATTGATAATTACAAAATTCAGGCGTCGGGGGGTTTTTTTTTTGGTCGAAGCTCCAATTCATTGCAATCCCCCAGAAGGGCAAATAACAGTATAAATAAAGCCAGGCAAAAACACCTGCAAGAAAACCAATAGGACAAAGAGGAACAAATCTAGCTAAAACAATCATAGTATAGCATGAAGATCATGTTCCCGAGAAAAAAAAAAAATTAAAACGGCAAAAGCCAACAAAAAGGAATTTAGCCCACATAAAGGCATATAACCCAATAAGAGGCATTACGCCCACATTCAGCATAAACCCCACATTAAACATAAAATACATTAAAAAAATAATAAAAAATAATAAAAAAGAGGAAACCTAGCCGCCACAACCAAAGAGAAACTCCAAGCCGCCACCAGTAAAGAAAAACTCCACGACTATAGATGGGCAAACCACCAATCACCACCATGAAGAACCAAACACCTACAGGTTAGTAAACCAAAGCCAAATATCCCTCAAAACATAGCCCACCAAAGATTCACTAACAAAACCATAATCAACTCAACCAATACATCCAATGCGTCGGGTGTTAGGAGGCCAGAATTTTGTTCCCGACTCACCAGTGGAATAATGGTCAGGGGAAAGCTAAGAAGATAAGCAAATT